AAAAATTCATGAGATAACAACAATATATTCATTTAAATAAACAATGTTAGTACGAGATTACAAAGCTTGTGTAATGTCTCTTTTCAACATTCACATATCAGATTTTGGGAATACTGTAACTCGCAAAATTAATTTATAACATATGGGAAATCAACAAAACTAAGACTTCAAAGCAATATATTATAATTTTAAAATATTTATTTAATTATATTTGATAAAAAAAAAAACTAAAACGATAAGTAACTACAGCAATCAAAATGGGAGCGTGATTAAAAATTTGCTGATCAATGAATAAAATCTTTTCATGATGGTTATAAAATTAATTTAAAAGCGGATATTTTTCAACCAGCGAAATAAGATTTGCGTTTTAATGTGGAACGCGATAGCAAATAAGAAATTTAAGTTATAATATTTGTATTTATAATTGTAAATATATCTTTTCCAGAATACAAGCAGGAAGAATTATTTGATTTATAATAAGTGAATTTCAAAACCTTACAAAAATGCAGCAACTTTTATAAAAGAAAATGAAACGCACCCTAAAAGACGTAAAATGTTTACAACTAATTAAGAATTTGCCATTTCACAATCTCCCTTCTTTTATTAATTACAAAAAACAATTCTTCCAATTGTTCAACAATACTTGTTTCAGATAAGCGCGTTAAACTTATCCCTTTTTTCACCCTTTTCCAATTATCCAACGCGTATTCCAACCAATGTTTTTCAATTGAAAGTCTTTGGTTTTCCATGCCAATAACAGGATTTCATCCTATGTATCATCGTTTATCAACATTTTCAACTTCCTTGCTACAAAATCCTTCAAATCATCCAACATCATCATGTCACCTTGACGAAAAACGTCACAGAGGGTAACAAGACTCGTGTCCATCAATTTGCCAGAATAAAGGTAATAAAGAATCATACGAAATGTATCAAATCTTGTTTCTTTTATTGGTATTAATTTCATATGTTGTTCTTTCCACCCACCTTGTAACATATTACCAAAGTATTCTGAATTCGACACAAGAATTATACGATGTGCCTTGATCTTTGATCCACA